GGAAACTAAAATTCAGACCGGTAAATAAAGCTGTCTAAAGTCACACAGTTATTAATTAGCAAATGGCAAACCCAGGATTCTAAGTCAAGTGTATTTCACTGACATGGTCTGGATAAGGTTCCTTGGTGTGCCTTTTTCTGCATGTCTCTGTTACTTCAGGTGTCACATGGCGCCTAATTGATCACTTTCTGGCTAGCCCCCTGTACCATGACCTCTTGCTGACACTTTTATCCCTATGAACATGACACATGATAGGAGCCCAGGGATATTTAAGAGATTGGATTGAATAGCCGAACACCATCTATGAGCCCCTGTGTCTAGAAAATGCCCATCTGCCACCTCCTTTCTTCTGACTTTCCACCAATATATATCAGGGTCTAAGGGCCCACTTTCTGAGTGAGGGTACACTAGCTAGCTTTTAAACGCATCCACTCATCTTCTATTGATAAAAATGGAAGCACAGAAGAAAAAAGCAAATGGCTAACAGCTGGTAGCACTTTCAAATACTATTTTTCAAGATGTTCCAAAATTTCCTCAGCGTGACCAAGCATAAAAAACCCCAGTAGGAATTGTCCTTGGGAGGCCATCCCCAATGAGGAATGTTATCAACCTGAAACAAAAATAAATGGCTGGCAGAGATTCTCTTTGGAAGAATTTGTCTACCCATATGCAGCATCTTTCAAAAAGCAATATACATAAACAATCCTTTTGTCAAGGCTAATTTACTTTTATGCTTGGGAAAGAAGCAATCAAGATGGACAGCTACATTTTCCTTATTTTGGCAGAACTACAACTTTAATATATGTTTATAATAGGTCTGCTGCTAAAAACTCAAGAACCTCAACCTAGATTGACAGAACGCATTTTCTTCTCAAGGCTTAAGTACTCGGAGAAGAATGGCCTTGTTTTCCCTTGCAGACTTCAGTTATATGAGTCTCATTTCATGATGTCCTCAGGAACTGTCCACATTCCGGGAGGAGTGATCATTTTTGGATTTTTCCAATAGTCTATGTCAAATTTAGTGGACACCAACTCTGGGCCAGTGCTATGTTGTCTGTACCACCAGGTCTTATTCCAAAATTTCAAGACTGTGGAGTGCCAAAATCTCGAGTGAGTCCCAAAGATGGGCTTAACAAAAGGGACTGCCCTTGATGGGGAAGGTCTCTCAAGATTGATTAGCAAGGAACGACCCACTTCAGAAACACAATTGTCTCTTTCCATCCCCATGGCAACTGCAAGGCCAGCAGCTGCTAATAAAAATCAGAGATACCACTTACCCAGCTGCCCCAAGATAGTCATGTAATTATGAGGTTTGGAGAAAGAGATAAGCCTGTTAGGGTGCGATATTAGCGACTTTACATCCTTTGACATGACCTGGGGTCTCCTTTTCAGTCGGGAGGAGACTCACTTTTTCCCTTCACTCTGAAGTAAGGTCATATTCAAAAGGAGATAGGGAAATATGTTGGGACCATATACAATTATGCAGACTTTCTCGGATTCATGGCTCCCTGTTATTTTTCTTTTTTTTTTTTAAGATTTATTTTTATTTATTTATACAAGCACTGGGTACAGTCAGAAGCGCAGGAGGGTGAGAGAATTCACTAGAGCCAGAGCGGGGAGCAAAACAGGCAGAAGGACTGAAGTACACTGCTGAGGGGAGCAGCAGGCGACAGGAGAGGTCTGCAAAACTGGCAGCGCAGATGGTGAGGGCAGCTTCGCAGCCCAGCGCTCAACCGCTGCGCCACCAGGGGAGGCCCCCTGTTATATTTTCCACGGAAAGGAGAAAAGAGCAGTGACTATCAGCCAGTTCAACCTGATGGCAGTCACTTCCTCCTCCATTGCATTCTCAGCCCAAGGGTCACCTCTTCTGGAGAGCTACCCCAAAATCACTCAGAAAGAGTTCACATCTCAGATGCTTTAACTACAACACATACCTTGATGTTTTCTTAGAAATCTTTCTGTACATATTATAAGCCCCAGGAGAACAGTTCATAAACTTCCATCATCACCCCTTGTGCCCATCACTCTGCCAAGCACACGTGGAGGAGATGCTTTCTAATTGATGGAGACCTGGCAGCCAAGTCTTCACATCTCTGTGTCCTTTTAGAAATAATACCTCCTATGTTTCTGAGGCTTACAGCTATCCCCTGATCAGCTGACAAAAATCAAGCCCAGTGTGCAAAAGTTTTAAAGAAATACCTTACTAGCACCTGTCAAGTTCATCTATCTGCTATCTCATTTCAGAGCTATCCATCCTGCTTCTCCTCTCACACCCAGGTGTGTTCAGAGAGTACCATGTGAAAGACTGAGCCCAACCTGGAAATAGACAGTGATGATGCCAAGAGGTTCCAGAAGGAACTGATACTCTGAAGTTGCCGGGTAGAATTAAGACCCCCATGCTCATTTCATGGAAAAGCAGAATGTTGGTCTTCCAGAACCTAATTAATCATCCTTCTATCTTCTCACAGCTGAGTTTTAGCTCCATTGATATTAATATGGATATCGTCACAAGCCATCCATTCATTCATTCAACTCATAGGTACTAAATTGTACATTATTTCACAGACTAAGCACTCAGCAGGTTATCCCTCATTTCCCACTGGGAAAGATGGACATTAAACAAAGAATTTCACAATTGATTACCAATATTTATTTATTCAATGTTACAAAGAAGATGAGCTAGGCATTATAAGAAAGGATAGCCGGGCGACCCAACCTAGGGAGTAAAGTTTTGAAGTTGAAATATGGAAAATGACATAGAGTTACCTAGGGAAGCCAGGAGAAAGGGAATATTTATAACAACCTCCAGGTAGGAAGAAGACTGGACTAGCACCAAGGCCTCTCCAGACCCTACATATTCACTTTGTGAATCTCAGTGGAGTTTTGTGGTGGCAAAAAAAAAAACCCTTCTAGCTAACTAGTAATTAGAGGGAATTATTGAAAGGAAAATAAGAGGATCTCAAGGAACCAAAAAGCAAGCAAAATAACTAGGTTTTGTGGTAATAGGAATTTTGACCTTTATTGGTTTTCTTTTTTGTGACTCTGGATACCCCTGTTCTTCTCTTCTCCCTCCCCCCTCCTTCCATCTCTTCCATCCTCCTCATTCCTGGTCTCTGCATCCCTCCATCTTTATATCTTTGTTCCTCTTTCTCTCTGTAAGGTATTTAATTCACCTGGTTCAATATGGCATCCATCCATGAGTCTATATGATCTTGCCGTTTCACTCCACCATTGATTGTGTCTCAACATGTTTCAGTTCAATTTCTTGAGAGATTAAATCCAATTGATTGCTAGCCATTTAATGGAATTACTTGCTGACTGTGAGTCAGGTGTCCATGTAGACAGCTTATATTTTTACCACCCAGAATTGGTAAACTAATTCATGTTCCATCGGTTCAGAGGTAGTTTTACCCGAGCAACAGGGATTGAGTACTTAACTCATGCCTAAGGATTTCAGCATACCATATTACTAGCCATAGAAACTGTGGCAGGTATGTACTTAAGTCAAACTTTGGGTGATAATTCTAGAAAAGATTTGCATTCTTCCATGGGTATTATAAAAGGAAATATTCACTCTTTTTTTAAGTAGTGAGATATGATGTCTTAAGATACAGATCTTTAGCAACCTTTTTGTGACAATAAGGGGATCCGTATTGATCATGGAGCCAATCCAGAGGAACCAGAATTTGGAGAAGAAATTCAGTTGTGGTGCTACCATTTGAGTCCTGATTATGCCTTGCTTGAAGCTGGATCTACCCTCACGACATTCTCATGTCAATAAATTCCTCTCATTGTTTGAGCCAGTTTAAATTGAATTTTTCTGTCACTTGCAAAAAAAAAAAAATTCAAACTGACTTAGCATGCTCCTCATAAGATCAGTATGGAACAAGTCTAGGGAGGACCAGTTCATGTTTTTCAAGTAAGAAGTGAGTCGTTGAGCAGGTGACCCATCAAAAAAGTATATTCAAGTCACCTAGCCGACTTAGTGGTATAAAAAAAAGAAAGAAAGAAAGAAATCATAAAGGAAAAAAAAATAAAAGCAACACCTGCATCTGTATAAAAAAAAGACACAAATAACAGAACTGAAACAAGCTGTCGTTACAACTGAATTGATGAGTAAGGAAGGAAAAAGAGCTGTTCTGTTACTGAATTGCTTTATCTTCTTTTCTAAAGAATTTTTTTTAAAGATTTATTTATTTATGCATACAAGAACTGGGGTACAGGCCAGAGGTGCGGGGGTAGGGGGTGAGAGGATTCACCAGAGACAGAGTAGGGAACAGAACAGGCAGACTGACTGAAATACACTGCTGAGGGGAGCAGCAGGTGAGACAGGAGAGGTCTGCTTCGCCATGTGGGTTGCTCCCTGGCCAGCTGGGGATCGAACTTATGCTGCGAGTCTGCGGATTGCTTCATAGTGTGGTGCTTAACCCTTTGTGCCACCAGGGAGGCCTGTCTAAAGAATTTTAATCACATTTTTCATCACTTCATTGAATTTTTTTATTTTTCTTGAAAATAGTAAGTATTCTTCTTAGAAATAGCCACAGGCTATGTTTGAAACATCTCAAATGAACTTCTTCTGAATTATTCATGTGAGAATGTCTCTATAGATATCCAGAAATAGGGTATCTTTCTGTCTCCATAGCTTAAAAAACAACTAGCTGCATTTTTGCTAAAACAGGCAAACTATTTGAATTGAAACCAGATTTGAAAAATAGCACCCTATTTTTCTTTCCACAAATCAAATTTTCTAGAGAAAACTGAGGGGGAAATAGAACTGTAATAAAACATATGATTCTTTCTTACTATGCATTTATATATGTATTTCTTACCTATTAGAGATTGTAAATAACTAGAAGGCAGGCAGCTGTCTGCTCAACCAAGCTGAACATTTTTCTAGCACAAATTTCATTAGTGGTAGATGTTATCATAACTCTGGGCTGCAAGACAAAAGCCTTCTGTATAAATCAAGTCTCTGTCATACTTCTCTTTTTCTTTGCAAGGAACGCAAATTTCCCAAATTTGTATCCAAAGAAATGGAAAACATGTACATTGAGGAGCTGAAGTCATCTGTCAACCTGCTCATGGCCAATTTGGAGAGCATGCCGGTGTCCAAAGGTGGCGAGTTCAAGCTTCAGAAACTCAAACGCAGTCACAACGCTTCCATCATAGACATGGGTGAGGAGAGTGAGAACCAGCTCTCCAAGTCAGATGTCGTGCTGTCTTTCTCCTTGGAGGTAAAAGCTCTAAACTTTTAAAAGCTTCCTGGCACCACCAGCAGGACATGGGTGATTAGATGCATCACAATCAACTTGTTTTCCTTCTTGCATCCCAGAAGTAGTTATTAAAATAATAGCTTCTAAACATAGGTCAGTTGATCAGCAAGTGATTTCCCAACTTTAGGAGGCCATACTTTTCTTAAGGAAATGCTGTCTTAAGAACCACCTACTAAATTTAACCTTGCCTTACTTTTCCAGCCTTAAAACAGTGCTCAAGGGTTTTGTAAAGACCTTGTGCAATTTAGAACACTTAAAATTTTGTCTCCCTGGGTTAAAGTTAGGGGAAAATCAATCTAGCATTACTTCATGGTGTGTCATAAATTTTCTTTCCTACCATCTCTCCTGTTGGTTACACAGTAGAGAGCCCCTTATTGTGGTGAAACCTTTTTTAATTTACCACATTTCCCCATGAAAGAAGCTATTTGTGTCAAAATTATGGCAGTCTGCTCAATATGTCAATAAATACCTCTATAATTTCTACTCAGCTATTTGTTTTTCATACATATAATCTAGGGAGTAGATCTGGGCCAGCACCATCAGAATTAGCTGGGAAGCAGGTTCAGTGTGTAGACTCTTGGAACCCTATGTGTCCATTGACTTAGATCTCTAGGGGGTAGGAAAATAAAATGGTGCACTCGCTTTGGAAAACAGTGATTTCTCAAAAAGTTAAGCAACTGTCCTGGTAGATATCTACCCAAGAGAAATGAAAACACATATCCCCAGAAATATTTGCTCACCAATGTTTATAACAGCATTTATAATTGCCCAAAATGGAAACCATCTCCATGTCAATTAACTGGTGAATGGATAAATAAAATGTAGGACCTTCATATAACAGAGTATACTTCAGTAGTTGAAAGGAACAAGCTACTGATATATAAGTGATTGAGATGAGTTTAAACATTCATGCTTAGTGAAAGAAGCCAGATGTAAGAGCCACCTATTGTTTGGATTCCATTGATAGGAAATATCCAGAAAAGCAAATTTCCCAAAACAGATAGTATATTGGTGTTGGCTGGAGCATGGGGTAGAAATGGATATGAGGGACCATACTAGAGGAGCTAAAAATATTAAAACTAACTTATGTTGATGGTCACACAACTTAGTAAATTTGCTAACGTCACTGAATTGTACATTTGAATGGATTAATTATAGTATGCTTTAATAAAGTTGTCAGAAGAAATAAAATTTTTAGGAGGAGCAGAATCCATGAGTTGTGTATTTTAACAGCGATTCAAGTGCTTTTACAGACTCCAAACTTTGAGAACCATTCATAACTTACTAAAGTCAAATCCATGAGGATTTTAGGATGATCTGAGATTTGGGGAGACCAAGAGAATAGATCAAATTTCTGTAGATTTAATTAGGATTTGTAAAGACTAAATTAATTTTCTAGACCATCATTAAGGCTTGCTGTGAATTAACTGCTGGTAATTTGTTTTACTGTGCTCAGTTTGGATCAAGATAGTCATATTACAGTGTTTTCAACATGTATTTTGCAGTTGGCAGAGACAGTATTCAATTAAATATAGAGCACTTGGTGTGTGAAAAAATCATCAGTATAATTCCACAGAAACTTACTTTCTTTTTTTTTTAATGCTGCCACCTGAGCTACAGAACGCTTTTTCTTAGGTGTCTTTGAATTTGATTATTGCCAATTAGAGGTGGCAATTTATTCCCTACTGCCTCTTGTCTTTCTGCTGAAAGGAGTGGGGGGAATGTGGTCTATTGATTTTCATGAAGCTTTTACATCTATAATTTTCTGTTTCTTTATCAGTACTCAGCACTATACAGCCAGTTATCTGAAATATAGATGTGGGCGTGTTCCCAACTTTACTCCCGTGTGTATGTGATTCAAATAGGCTTTAACTTGTGAGTTCAAGTACACAACAAAATACCCTAGAGTTCCCAAATACTTTTTAATTGAACACTGAATTGCACATCATACTAGAATTGTTAGCAAAAATCATCATGCATCTATTTGTGAGTATGTTTGGGAGGACACAGAGAGAGGAAGCCAAAAGAGGGAGAAAGGGACCTGTCATCTCATCCATGTATATTGGGTTTGGACTTGAGGTTGGTGCAAGACATATTTTTTGTCACTGTAGAACTGCTTCACTTTTGGGGACACCAGAACACAGTTAACTGCAGCAGGAAGCCTGAGATCCAAGATGCTGGGTGGTATGGATGTGGCCAGAGGGAGTGTTCTGATAAAAAGCAATAGATATTGTAGAATGTCACTGTGGGCCCAGTGACTTGCCAACATTAACTCAGTGAATCCTTACAACAGTCTTTTGTGGCACTTGCAGATGTAGATAACAAAATCTCAGAGAGGTTAAGAAATATGTAAATGATTATATAGCTAATGAAGATGTAGAATCAAGATTTGAACTCAGATCTTTTGAATTCATGAAATTCTGTACTTTCTATTATGCCTGCCATTTTTCCTCATTCCTCTGGTTCTTCCCGGTATAAACTTTTTAATTAACTACACCCTTTCATTCTATCTACACACAATAGCCACGAAAAGGAATTGGGCACATGTCAATATCCTGAATTTACAGATGAGGAAACTGAGGCTCAGGAGATTCTGATAAAAAAAAAATGGAATGACTTCAAGGTCAGGTCATTTCCCAAGATCACATGAATAATACATTGGTTCTAAAGTATAACTACCAGGTCAGCGGCATCAACCTTAGCATCACCAGGGAAATTGTTAGAAATGAAAAATCCTGGACTCCACCCCAGACTTGAGTGGTGTGACTCCACCCCACAAAAAGTGGAGCCCAGCAATATCTAGTTTAATAAGCCCTCCAGAGGATTCTGATTCACACTATGTTTGAGAACCACTGGACTATTAAGCAACAAAACTGTGTGTTGTGAATCCTGGTTTAAAAGCAGCCCTATTGTACTTCCTTGAATCAAGCCCTTTGAAGAAGTGTATGTTTTTTGCAACAACAACATCTGTCTTCTTATGTAATGCCATTACCTTTTTAAAAGTGTAATCGAATGATTTTTTTAATGTATCTTGCCCTTTGTAGATTCAGATGCAGGTCATTTATTTCAGATTTTTAAATCATTGTCTCTACCTTCCTCTTCCCTCCTCTTTCAGAGAAGTGATAGGGCATACCACTAAGTATGAGAATAGATCATGGTTGAATGGAATTTGGGAGCAGTGGTGGAAGGTGCCAATAATTGTAAATGATGTATTTGCGAAGACACCAGGCTTTTTCTTAGTCTAGAAAAGAGTATGCAGCAGCAGACCTGTTTTTGTTTTGGCCTGCACAGAGCTTGTGTGTTTAATTCTTCACATTTTGGATTGTTGTCAAAATCAGATTTCTGCCTTTGATTCTTATTCAGACCATTTTCTGGTAGATAAAATTGGAGTAGCTGTCAAATTGAGAGAGACAAGACAACAATGGGCTACGACTGAGTGGCCACTGCTCTCTTTAGACAGAGCATGTGTCTTCCACTTAGCCACAGTCCCCACTACTCCCTGTTGTATCTGACTCTACTAGTGAGTGATATTTGGCCTATTTTATTAACATTTGCATTATTGTTTATCTTATTATAAAGAGAAAAATGAGCTTTTGGGCCTATGTCTCTTCCAAATGATGACTTAAGTTAAACCATTTTTAAAGAAAATATAGTCTGTTGCTTTGCAGGAAAAAGATTCTATGTATTTAACACAGAAAAGAATAGTCAATTTCATATTACCTGTCTGAATTAGCAAGTTTTGTCTTTCCATCTCGGAGGCAGTAAGCTGCACTATGTGGAATTATGTCTTCATGTTAGATTGGTCCCATCAGGGCTGGTAGAAATCTGATAGAAGCTGTTGGATAACTTGTTGACTTTTTGGTAATTTATATTTTTCCTAGCTATATATTTTTCTCAGGGTGATGCTGCTCAGGGATTTGGGGATTAACTTCTACTATGTGATTCTGTTTCCAGGTGGTGATCATGGAAGTCCAGGGCCTCAAATCCTTAGCTCCAAATCGCATAGTGTATTGTACAATGGAGGTGGAAGGAGGAGAGAAACTACAGACTGACCAGGCTGAGGCTTCGAAACCAACGTAAGTTGTTTCTTGAGGGCTTGTGTTGCAGAAACTGGCTCCCTCTGGTTTATTCCAGGCAGCTCCAAATTAAAGATATGGTTCCCCAAAAATATTTCTAGAAGACATTTGTACCTTGTTTATTTTTCAAGCAAGACATCTCACCTGCACTTTAACTTGGTAGCCATAACAAGGATTCTAATTCCTTCACAGCAAAGAACTGAAACAATAACTTTAAAAAACACTGTCCTTTTTGGAGGCTTTATGTATTCTCCTTAAAGAATCACAACTTCCATCTTTGCATATAATGTGCAGGACAGTTTGATATACATTTGTCTTATTTTATGTTTTGAATAATACTTGGTTATAGCATAAGCAATTTTTTTTCAAAATCTTTCTCTGTGCTATAGTCACGAATATATCAGCAGTGCAATATGTTCCATTACACACAATATATTAATTCATTGTCAACACTGTGTGCTAGCTGCTGTTGCACAGTGTAGAGTAGCATAGTCACTATTACAGTTGAATAGAGGTATCAGAAAAATAATCCTATAGATACATAATTGCAAGTAGTTATAAATGCCAAGGAGAGAATACTTTGAGAAGAATTAAAGGGAAGCACCTGAGCCAATTTGTGGAAACAAAGTCAGAGAAGGCCATGTTTGGGAGTTCTAAGACATTTAACTGAATAGTATAAAAATTAGGCAAGAGGGCTGGGAGTAAAAGAACTTCCGGGTAGAATCAGGTTGTACAAAGGCCCTGCGGTCAGCAGAGGCCCTGTGGCAAGGAGGAATTAAAAGAAGACTAATGGGGCTGAAATTTAGAGAACAAAGTATGCAATTAAACTGACAGTTTAGGGACTGTCAGGAAGGGACTGCACCATAAAGGGTCTTGCTGGGCCATGGATTAGATAGGTGTTTTGAATAGATCACTCTGGCTGTACTGAAAGGGGCCAGAGTTAATGCAGGAAACCAAGTTGATATTATATCACAGAAGCACAGATGATTAATTCGTTTGGGTTAATAGACTCAGGCCTCAAATATTCTTGAGAGATCACTATTCTCTTCCCTCTCTGCTCACTGCCTCTCTCCCTTCCTTCCTTTTCTGTCTCAATTAAGTCAGGCTAGACCAAAGATCATCTTTTTTTTATTGTTGTTAATTCATAAGAAAGTCATGTAAAGGGTAACCCTGAAAAGCAGCTCACTTCCTCCCCACTCCCAGAGCATTATGAGTAGTTTAACAGAACATGAATAACTTACCAGGATGTTCAAACAAAATGGTTCAAAGAAAGCAATGTTTCCCAGACTAGAGAAAAATCTGAGGGCTTTGTATGCCTTCAAGTGGTTCTTTGAATGAATAGACAAAGGCCTCAGAGGCTCAGAAGCTGGGCAAAATTAATGAGCATCCACAAGAGGAATGAAACCAATGCAGTTTGTCATACTCCATCCCTCCTCTGCATTTTTAAAACTTAGTTTCAAACTGGAAATGAATACAGCTTCTTTTATTGCCATTGATGAAATACCAGTTTCTCCCATCACTATGGTCTTATCATTATCAATGCAATTTTGTCATGCTATCTACATGTACTTTCAAACAATGTAACCTGTATGAGGGAAGAAAACACTTTGTGGTATTTCTACTGGCTTTTTAAGATGAAAAGCCCAATATGGTCATCAAGTAGAGAAGGAAGAGGAAAGCGCTGATTATTCTATCAGGTTGCTGTTTCATTTGGGTTATTTTAACTCCAAACATAATTCATACAATTTTCTTTGGTTTAAAGGTTTCAGTTGCCAGAATAAATGATGAACTGATTTTCATGTGCTTATGAATATTTAAACTGGAGTTTCAGATTAGAAATAAATATGGATGCTTGGCTCTACCTACTTGAAATACTCATATTTCACATATATATTTACTCATATCCATACATCTGCAATATTATGTCCCGTATAAAAAAACATCTCACGCAAACATTTTGCTTTTCTAGCCAGAAGTATAATTGTTTTATTCTCCTATAAGCAGTGAGTGGGTATTACCAAACTCTACAGAGGGTTTGTGTTTCTTTAATACAGTAAGAATGCAAAGTTTCATGTCTGGGGGCAAGTCAAATGGTTAGGTAGTATGCTATGTTAAGGATTCTGAGGCCAAATCTATATTCAGAGGAAAGTAGCACCATTATCAATTTGTAAAGTTGGCCACAGAAGGGGAAAAGGTACAAGTACAATGTTTTCCATTTCCATAGTATCCCTAAGAGTCTACCGAGTTTGATACCTACCAACACTCTCATGTTTCTTCCTGTCTCCTCTTCTACCCTGTCTGTATAAATTCTCCTTATGGCCTCTATTCATCTTCTTCTAAATCCATAGTTGTTTTCCTGATGTTCTTCACCTTTTTCTTTGTCATTCTTCTGTTCTGGTAGTTTGCTCTGTCTTCAGTTTTGTATGGAGGATGAATAAGCATGATTGTGCAGATCCATTTGCTCCCTCTCTCTGTTGTTTTGACTAATCAGGATCCTCTCCATCATTGAAGCTTATATTTCTTCTCCCTTTCTTCCCCTCAGCTACTCACAGTTTCTCCTACTGATATCCAACTGTCATCATTGTTACTTGATTCTGATTATCCCTAAAAGTATCCTTTTGAGGGCTATCTGTCATCTGTCCTTATAACGCCACTTCATCATCTGACAAGTTCAGCCTTTCACTGATCTATTCATCTTCTGAATCTTGTCTTATACTATTCTTACAGGCCGCTAATGCCAGTACTTTATCTCTTCCAAAACAAAAATTCCATTCAAACCTATTTTATTTCTTAGTCATAATTTCCATTGTTGCTGCTACCAAGAATTTCACTCATTGTTGCTGCTACTCAGAATTTCACTAGATGGAACACTAGCATCTTGCCTATCATGTGTCTACAAGCAATTTGACCTTTGTCTTTTTTGTTTTTTTGCAAATACAGTAAGAAATCGAGAGCATTTATATAACTCACTTTTTCCAAAAGTGTGGTTTTTAGATCTGTAGTGTGTGGAATAGTCAAAGAAAAACAAAGTAAGGGAGAGTGGTGCCATGGTCACTTGACAGTTTGGGAAATGCAGTATATTAATTTCTTTCTGTGTAGAGTACATTGGCATTTTAGAGGCTTTGAAGATTTTTAACAGTAAATAAACCTATTTGGCTTTGTTTATCCATGAGCATTCTTATTGCAGCTAATATCTATTAATGTCCAGAGGAGGTGCTAATCTATATTATCCAAACCTAGTTGTCCCTCACCTCCCTTATCAATGTTATCTCCTTTATACCAGTGACCTGCCCAGCCTGGACATTCTGAATCAGGTGTATAATGTAAGATGCTATGTTCATGGGTTAAATATACTTTGTGTTGGAAATAAATGGGGAGGGGGTATGGTATTGCCTTTACTCGCTCTCATTTTGTCAATCTCTTTGCTACCTATAATTTTCAAATAGACTATATTTTCTCTCAATTGTAAGTTGCCTCCTCTCCTGGGTTTTTAACCTGGAAAGCCAGAAGAATAAATGATCAAAAATTTTCAAGGACTACATTTATTTTTTTTTTTAAATGTTGCATCCATTTGCAACACATTGTGTCTGCCTCTAATGAGAAACCAGTGGGGGTGGTGAAAGACAAGTAATTGTAATTGTGTTTTTAGATGAGCAACCTCAAGGATACTTGGAAATAGAGAAATGTTTTGTGGATAAAAAAGAAAAACCAAGATCTATTTATTCACCTCCTATGAAATAGAGCAGAGTACTTTTCTTGCCATGGGGCCGTGTTTTTTATCAAAGGACAGCACTCTTACCTTTGCTGATAATAGAGATTATGTTAGGAATTACCAAGACATGGCATTGAGTGACTTCAAATCATGTGAGAAGGATGTTACTCTGTTTCTATTTACTCTGATTGGGTGAAGGAGAACATATTGATTTGGTGCCATAGGTCTTTAAAAGACTTAAAGTTCAGAGCCTTCTGCAAGCAAGAACCTCCAATTAGAATTTAATAACATTACATAGCTATCATTTAACCAAAAATGTTATCTGTTCAGTGGGACTTGGAATGGGTTAAATGGAAACTGAGTATCTGTCCCGAACAAAGCCTTCGAAAGTTAAACAAAAATAAATACCTGGTAGGTAAAGACATTTCCTCAGCAAGTATACACAGATTGCTTTCCTTGTGTCTAGCTAGAGCTGGGGCTATAGCTATGAATAACATGCATTAGCCTTGACCTCTAGGAGTATATACATTCTAGTAACTCACACAAGCAATAAACAAGTGAGCAAATAATACGTGTGGTAATAACAGGTTATAATTTGTGATACCGTCCATGACTGGTGCTGCTGCTTTGTCTTCTGCATCAGTGACATAAACTTTTCATTTAAAGAGATATATTAACATTTAAAAATTGAATTAATTTAAATTAAATATGTTAAATAAGCAATAGTACAGGTGGTACTTAGACATGATGAAATTAATCATGAAAGTACCTTGTGTTAGTATGTGAAAATAACACAGATTGAGAAAATGGTATGCAAATTACTTTAATATGGGAAAATTGATGTAAGGAAACTGACATAGTCCTTGAGCAAGCAATCTTCTCCAAAATGACTGTCTTTCTTGGTGGATTGGTATAGTGTGAGTTACCCTTTAAGGAACATGTACTGTGGATTAAAAGAGAATTTTAAGTAATTTTGCTGAAAAGATAGGAAGTTTGAGTTAGCAGTCCAATGTTGTGCTAAATTATCTGAAATTATATTCTTCTGAATCAAAACCAACTATGCCCATTTGTATTTGATTATTTAACAAGTTTATTATTCCCTGACAAACCATGTGCTTCGTGACATATGGATTTCATTATTGTAAGGAATTAGAAAACACAAACTATTTACTGCTGTTTTTCAAGGGAATAAGAAAATAAAATACTCTAACTGGTCAATCTTAGCCCTAGCATTTTTCAGTGGCATGTTATCTGATGATACCATACTTTTTTTTTTAAATAGGAAAAA